GACGCTGGTGACTAATGACCTTATTCCCTCAGGACACGATAACGGTACGCTTTACCCGCTGCTTCCTGTGCGGTGTGTGATTCTGTATGAATGGATGAGTTACTTCTGATGGTCACTTTGCACAGCAGCCTCTACCATCAGGGTGTGAACGTGAAGGTGTGAAACAGCAAAAAAAAAAAAAAGGAGCACAATCAACCATAGTTGCACAATGTTCAGCACAATATTTCAGGTGCACGACCGCAACAGAGTTCATCTGGCTAGAGCAGCAGCGTGCAGATCCTCGTGGTAGGTGTGACCTGCGGTGTAAAAGCTCTTTGAGTAGTCAGAAGACTAGAGGAGTGCTCTACAAGCTCAAGTCCGTTTACCATTCAAGATGGCCACAAACAGGATGATCAGAACTTGAAATGCATCTACTAAAACTTCCTGAACGTGTAAACGTATCGTCAGCGTGGTGCAAACAACATTCAAGATTTAAAAAAAACGCGTTATTGTCTATCACATAGTGACAGAAAATTACCTTTTGTTGAGGCGCAGTAACAAAAAAACTACAAGATGTCTGTGTAGATTCTCAGTCATCCAGGTCATGGTAAATACAAAGCTCTCCCAAAACAACTGCAACCCCAGTCAGTCCCACCTTAGAACATGTGACTCCAACAACCCACAGACGACTGGAGGAGTGGTAACGACTTAGCTAACGACTCTGATGTGAGTTATCCTTCTCCATTAGCATGCTAAATATGATCCACAGAGGCTTACATTTCTAGCTCCGTCCACCAGAGAGTTTAGAACTGAAGAAGCCTTTTAGAGGAGGAGGTGAAACATCTTCAAGATCTTCAACCAGTCCAGTTTCCTTTGGGTCAAGCTTCTGATAAACATTCACACCAAGACTCGCATTAAATCATAAAATAGCAAAAAGTTCCATAAATCTGTAAAAACACATCGTGCACAGCATGTAAACAAGTATTGTTTAGCTTACCTTTTTTTAAAATGCGTGTTGCAGTGGGAATAAAAGAGTTTCTGTAAGTTTTCTTTTTTGCTAATGTTCCTCTGAAACGGCTGCCTGAGGGGAGCAGCTGGGGGTCCTCAGTGATGCAGACTGCTTTCTGAAGTTCTGACAGTTGGATCTGGGTGGTGCTGGTGATTTTTGCTGCATGTTAAATTATACTAGCGAGTTTTTTCTTGCATTTTTTGGTGAGAAAGTTGTTCCAGGATGCGATGTTAAATATGAGGACTGATTCAATGAGTGACCGTTTCACTGCTGGTAAAATGTCCTGTCTGATGTTAATACTTGTTATCCTCCTCAGGAGAAACATGCGCTGTTGTGCTTTTTTTTATAGAGGAGCTTATTATGCATGTAGTCGATGTTGTTCCTTATAATCCAGCATGTGTTCCACAGTCAGTCTACAGTCTGATCAGTGATGGTGCAAAGTGATAAATGGACCAAACTCTCATAAAGTTCTTCCCAAATGTTGGAGCAGGATTTCACTTCTTGAGAAATGTGTTCATCATGAGAAACATTAGTAAGAGAAGAACACTGCTTTATATCAATCTGAGGTGCAGACGTTTTCATTTCACACCGCGCAGCCCGCAGGTACCATTGATGACAACGTTATCACACCTTAATACTTCAGACGTCTGAGAATATCTGAAACTCACACGCTGTTAAACTTCTCTTTACCTCGTCTGACGGGAGGAGAGCACGGACTAAAGTAACACCCAGTGCAGCTCTGCACAGGCTTCAGGCTGAGAGGTTGTGACAGTAAGTGATGTGAAATGATGAAATAAGTCAGAATGTATAACTAAGGAGGAACCTTCTGGGCTTGAGGAAGTCATATAATAATAATAATTAAAAAAAATGGCTCGTTTTGAGTTTTCTTTCCCTCTTAGAAATCAATCAGCAGCGTGTAAGATACTGTGGAGGAAGACAGACATCTTTGTAGTTTTTAGTTTAATATCCTCACACAGTGGGAATAGGAAAGTGATAATGCAACTTGGGGTTAAGTGTCTTGCCCAAGGACAAATCAGACATGAAGCTGCAGGAGCTGGGAATCAAACCTCCGACCCTCCGGTTAAGAGACGCTCCTCACCCCGCCTTCTTACATAAACTCTGCTCACAGTTATGACTCATCATATGTCATTGATGTGACAGGCAAAGAAAAGAGAGCTCAGTTTAATTTGCTAATTTACAATTTGTTGACCTGCTGCCAGAGTTTGACCCGATCTGAACGTGAGGACGACCATGCTGACCCTCTGGATGAAACACATTCAGCACAAATCCATCCACAGCCCGTCTGCTCAGCCGCTCATAAAACACAACACACGCTGCATTATGAGCATCAACGCATGAACGGTTCCCCTGAGATCAATAAAAGACAGAAAGAAGACGTCAACCGAGTCAGGGGAAATCTAACCGGCTGCCGGTTTGAACGAGCAGAGGACGCTTCATTTTATTTTATGGTCAGCTGATGCTCAGAGTCCTAATGTCATTATTCTGTTTATCTAATTGACTCAGAGAGAAATCCACAGCTTCCAATACTCGCAGTCATGTTGGGATCCATAAGTTCATCAAGAGCCGGAAACGATCAACAACAATAAAGACTGAGAGGCCACTTCAAGACATCAAGACAACAAGACATCAGCAAGAAGACGCTTTTTTATTCCATGTTTGATTTTTAGTCATGATCTCTATCACGAGATAGAGAGAGCAGTCGGGACAAACTACTGGATGGATAGACATGGAAAACGGTACAACCAAAACGTTCACCTTTCATGCATAAATGATAAAAGAATAGAGTTTTATTTTTAAATTCACAATTTTGAGGAAGTTACAAAAGTGTCCACAAGCATGCAATGTTTTCATGCAGGTCCAGTCAGTGAGATGTGTAGTGAGTGAAATGATAAAGTGATCTTACTATCTGATCAGACATTAAGGAAACATGCTATGTTGAAGTGCTGGCTTCTCTGACAACAATGCAGCAGCCAGTATGTCCTCCTTCTAACTTTAGATTCTGCTACTGAATGATCTGGATTTGTTTGGACCAGAGAAGGTAGGCGCTTTTAAGATAACCCCCCCGCCCCCCCACACGGCCGTTTTGGATGCCCCTCGGTTTGCCAGATATGAGAGCAGTTATCAGGTCAAACCAACAGGTGTTGCAGTGATGGAAGCAGGTAAGAGAAGTGGTTCAGATAGACAGCTCAATACAATGTTTTGAGTTTAGACTGCAGTACCCATTTTAAACACTAGGGGTCAGAGTTACATATTGCTCCTTTAATTTTTTTTTTTCATGTTTAAACAAAAGGTGTTGGTTAGCATACATTGAGGAGAGAAAGCTTTGGAATAGATGTCACCAGTAGTGAACAATATGCTTGAAAGGGTTAATTATCATTGGCTGAGGTTTGTGTTAGTTCACTCTGAATCATCACTTTGAGAACAAACGTCTCAGAATCGCTACAAAACACGATTATGCTCTTTGTGTCACAGCTCTTTGAAGTGAAGAAACAACATCAGAGTGTAATCAAAGTGTCAGACTGAGGAAGGAGACATGAAGACCGGCTATGTCGTGACGCCAGAGACGATTTCTTCTTAAAGCCTCGTTTTTTTACAACCACTTCATCTGTGTTAGCACGACCGCAGAGTGAGATAAACGATGAACCCAGCTTTAGTCTGTCAGCGAGAACAGAGGCAGCCAGTGAGCTGAAACCACCATCACACATCATGACAGTAAATCATCCAAACCCACAGAGTCTGCAGCTAAATCACGCCTGTGTGTGTGTGTGTGTGTGTGTGTGTGTGTGTGTGTGTGTGTGTGTGTGTGTGTGTGTGTGTGTGTGTGTCTGTGTGTGTGTGTGTGTCTGTGTGCGTGTGTGTGTGTGTGTGTGTGTGTGTGTGTGCGTCAGCTCTGACATCTCCGTGATGTAAATCTACATACGTGCAGATGTTTTTAACAGATCCCGGTCAAAGACTTGTTGAAGATGAACAAACAAAGACATCAGATGAGCATTAATGAAAGAGTCTCCTTGACATTTCCACCAGCGCAGCTTTCATTCTGTTTTCTCCATCAGGGAATCAAAGGACTATTTATGTATGAATCAGTGGTGCTTTATTGATTTATCTCTCTGATAATGTGTCTGTTGTTAGGTAGCTCAGTCCACAGACATCTTTCATTCATGACAATACCCAGATTTTAAAAGAAAAACTGGTTCTTGGGCTCTTGATGTGTTTGGTCACACTGGACAATGTTTCCTTCTTTCCGTCTGATCATATAGTAAGGTCACTTTATCATTTCACTCACTACACATGATTGATGATGATACACTGATTGATCATTTAAGAACATAAAATACACAACTGGAAATCAGAGATGGGGCCAAAATTCCCCTAAAATACAGAAACATAAGATATTGTAGAATCTAAAGATATAAGTTTCTTTGACCCTGAGTTGGAACCACATACACCGAGGTTGGGTTCCTCTCTAAGGAGTAGTTGCAGATGGCTCAAATCCTCACAGGATGTTCATTTACTTTTTTATTTTAATTCTTTTTTTAAATAAATAATAAATCAGTCTGGATTGTTGCAGGTGACATCCTGGTTGCTCAAATCAAGGTTTTAATCCAAACTTGTTGCACACCAGTCCGGTTGCATCCTAATGATAAAACAGCTGCACACGGGGCCATCTACAGTCTGACAGCACCACCTAGTGGATATCTAATGTAATTATCTGATATGAAATAAAAATTAAACTGGAAGTATTAAATCTCATGACTTTCTTATCGTTGTATGTTGTAATTTTGAAAAGAAACATTTTGAGATTTGTCACATCCCAAACAAAATAAATCTAACATGCGCATGCGTCCATATGCCAAAACTCCGTCCATGTCCATCAAGTGATTGAATGCTGCTATTTGTAGTGTGTAGTGTACCGCTGGGTTTTATCCATAGGTTTTATCTAGCTCTTACCTCCGCTGACGTCGAGACTTTTATTCTGAAATTCAGACCGGAAGTTGTTTAAGTAGCATATGTAGCATACTAGCTTGACGTTAGCCGGTGGTGAACGTGATGAACCGTGTTTCTCCTTCACGGTGATTTAAAAAAAATAAAGATGGAATCGTCTGAAAGCCCGTCCGGTGAGGTGGCCGGTGATGAGCAGGAAGCTACACCGACCCCAATGGATGTGGACACGGCGGTGTTCGTGCTGGGAGCCGGGGTGACGGCCATCACTCACCCGCTGCTCTACGTCAAGCTGCTCATACAGGTACAGCGGCTAATGCAGCTAGCTAGACAACAACAACAAACAGGGAGGTGTTTTTACTCTGCTGCTCTGTTTGCTTTGGAGTTTCTTCATCCCTGAGGACACGCTGGGACCCAGGGGGAGGGGGGGGGGCTGTGAGGGACCAGGAGGAGGCAAGGCAGCCTGAGAGGTGGAGAAACAGATAGAAGGAGTTTCATTAGAGAAGAAATGAGGCAGAGTGGACACACTGGTCACCTTACTGGAAGTTGTTATTGAACAAAATGTTTTCTATGGATTAAAATGAATTTAATGTGAATTACATTGTTTATTTATGTCAAATAACTACATTTTCAACTATTACAGACAAAATATATGAATACTGAACTTAGTTATGTACAGTGTCAGGTGTTGGTGCTGCAGAGGCATGTCCAGAGGGGGGGCCTGGGGATCCCCCTTGAAATCTGATTGGCCTTCCCCAAATCCAGATCCCTTTTTTTTATTCCATACTTCATTAAAGGCTTTATATGTGATTTTTTTGATCCAGCAGATGTCGCCCTTGAGCACCAGCATGAAACCGAAACAACTCGCTCTGCATTGTTGTGTTAGCATGCTAATGCTAGCGATCTTTATTATGCTCGTATCTTCACACTGCATGTAAATTTACCTGAAATGAGCGTGATCTAGAAACACAGTTAAGCAGTGAGTACAGTATGTTATTCTTCTTTTCTCTAGTCCCTCAATTAAACAACTTTTATACACGAGGGGAGGAGTCAGCCGGCCGTCCCGGCGATGTAAACAAAGTGAAGATAGGACTCTGAAAGCATCACAGACAGTGGGACTCGGGTGTTACACCCATTGTAGACAGTCATGACTCACAGAGTTATTTTCAGAGGATATACTTGATTTATATTATATTTAAGTGTGAAAAATCACATATAAAGCCTTTAAACCCTGAGGGGAAATTCTGCTTTTCCACTTTCTTATTGAGAGACATGTTTCTCGCACACCTGCACAAACAGGACGTTGTCAGAGTGAGGCTGCTACACAGTAAGCTCATTAGTGTTAGTTCTTCTAGTATTTTATTAAAGTTTAAAATCATGATATCAGGACGAACCTCATGGTGTTCTGTCTGTCGTTTCCAGGTGGGTCATGAACCTCTTCCTCCGACTGTGGGCACGACCATGTTTGGACGGAGAGTCTTATACCTGCCCGGCTTCTTCTCCTACGGTGAGCGTCAACTTATTATTACCTGTAGCCTCATTGGTTCACTGCACCATTATTACGTTATAAAGGTGTTGACAGGAGATACATTTATTTTCAGCACAGCACATTGTACAGGTGGACGGAAAGAGAGGACTCTTCCGCGGCCTCTCGCCTCGGATTGTGTCCAGCACCATCTCGACCGTGGTCAGGTGCAAAGTCAAACAGGTGAAACTAACAAGGCATGTCCCCGTGCAAACTAACATGCTAACACCTGTTTCCACCAAGCGGTCCGGTTTGGTTCCTCTTACAACCACATTAAGAAAACATGAACTATTCCTTTAGGAATGATTTAGTAAGAAGTTAAAATAATGACTGTTGTTTTATTCAGCAGGTAGAGCGTCGGTCTAAGAAAGGCGGCGTGCAGACTTCACTCGGGAAGGTTTTCCAAGAGGTGAGAGATCAGACAATGTGAAATCTGAATATGACGACTTCTTTCATTAACCATCGCACTGAACTGGTACGATTAACGCTGAGGTCAGAGTACATGGTCACTGTGTCCATCACAGAGCCATACATTCGTGCTGTGACTTAACCATCTGAGAGCCGCAATGCATTCTGGGTGCTCCGGCATCATACTTTAAAGGTCACATATTACCCAAAATCCACTTCCCCATGTTCCTCTAACTCTAATATGTGTCTCTAGTCTGTCTACAAACCCCCCAATGATGAGAAAAGTCCATCCTCTCCATCTTCTGCCTGCTCCACTTTTCAGAAAATGTGTGTTCAAACAGGCCGTTTGGAGATTTTCCCTTCATGACATCACAAAGGGCAGTAGCCCCTCCCCCAGGTGGGTGACACTCCCACAGCTAGGTGTTTGTTCTGCCCTCTTAGTCTGCCTTCTCACCGTAAACAATAGGACATGGAGCGAGAAAGCACCGAGTACACCCAAGACCTTCCAGAGAGGGGGCGTGGTCAGACACAGCTCATTTACATATTTAAAGGTACAGACACAGAAACAGCCTTTTCTGGGCAGGGCTGAAATAGAGGGGTTTATAGGCATGATCAAATACTGGATCAGAGTGGATTTAGAGTAAGAAACTTCACAGACATGTTTTGAGGAGCTCTGAGACTTATTTAAACTTCTTAAAAGGAAGATAGTATGTGACCTTTAAACTAATCCACCCAATCTAGTACACATCCGGGCACTCATGTGACGTCATGTTTAGTACATTTAGACTGATAGACTGCCATTCTCACTGGCACTTTTATTCAGTTGCTGTTGCCTAACTACATACATTTAAATTCTTTCTACGTTTATATTATTACCTGTAAGTACCTGGATGTCATTGTTCTCTCTTCAGACCTCACAGGAGATGATCATTCAGTGCCTGTCCAGAGTAGCGACTCATCCTTTTCATGGTATGTCCGTTAAGTTTATTCCCCTCGAACATTAATTCATCTTGTCAGAAGTGAAACCTTCTAAATCATTGCACTCGCAGTCAAACTCTTCTTCTACTCCTTCTTCAAAGTGACCCACCCCCCTTTCTGTAAACCTCATGGAGGATTTCTAACACTCAGTAACATGGACATGGATTAACATAACGTTTGACATCAAAACAGTGATAGTGGAGTGTTCATCTGGTTGTTCACCTGTTCTGTCTCCTTTCACAGTCATGTCAGTGCGATGTATGGCCCAGTTTGTCGGCAGAGAGGTCAAGTACGGGTAAGACGATGATTTAAGTACTCTCTTTAACAACATCACTTCACTTATATACTTCTATAGTAACTCTGCTGTTGAGATCTTAACAGCCCTTTCTGCTATTACACACCTTTTATTGAAAACTACTGCAAATATATGTTATATAGAGGGGAGAGGAAATTACCGTATGTTAAGAAATATTTATACATCTACAGTCAGACGAGAAACTGTATCAAAACTAAAGTCTTAGGGATTATGACTTGAACAATATCTCCATTTGAACGACTCTTAAACATTTGATTTGGCGGAAAAAATGCGTTAAATACTGAGAAAAAGTCAAAGGTACAAGACTGTGTACATAATTATCACCCAGAGTCAATGAACTACACATCCCACAATGCATTGCGAATGATCCCCTCTTAAATGTAACTTTAGTCGTTGTTCTGCTGCTTAACAAGATGAGTACATTTACTGTTAGCTTACTTACTAGCTAGACTTCTAGCTAAACAGAGGGACAGAAGGATGGGAAACATTGCCATGGTAACAGCGTGCTCCACCAATCAGAGACGTCGCTGTGACACTATGATCGTGGGTAGTGTAGTTCTTTCCCCTGACATCGTGAATAAATCATGTTTCTCTTAAAACGAGGTTGATATCATTTGAACTTGTGTCTCCTACAGGAGCAGACACCATCGTCTCACGCTCAGGTAGCTCGTGGTCAGTCTACCTGTAGATGGTTATGACATCATGACTAATAATCAAATCCTCTATGGAGAAAATTAACAGGACTTTTACTTAATGGGCCTCACTGTTGAGACTGTTCTTCTTCGTTGGTAATTCTTCACTTTATGTAACAGATCCATGAATGGCGGCGGTGAAAGAGAAAACGCGTGTAGATAACGCTTCACACTGATGATAACGGAGTGTGTGTGTGGCTCTTTCAGGGGGATGTTCGGCTGCATGGTCAAGATTTTTAAAGAGGAAGGAGTCGCCGGGTTCTACGTGTGAGTCCTCTTAACACGCTGGAGACATTTGAAATGTGATGAGCGTCTTCATTCTGAGCCGTGTTATTGTGTGTGTGTGCGTGCGTGCGTGCGTGTGTGTGTGTGCAGAGGGATCGTTCCTCACGTGTTGGGAGAAGTCCTCTTCCTGTGGTGCTGTAACCTCCTCGCTCACTTCATCAACACCTACGCCGTGGACGAAAGTGTGAGTGCAGAGGAGCGAGAAAGATTCAACGTTTGTCTTTAATGAAACTCTGAAGAGGCTTTTCAGACATGACGCTGTGTGTGCTGTGCGCCGCTGTCGAGCACGTTCACTTTAACCACCCGAGCAGCACCTGAATGCAGCATGAGTCCAACTTCCCTGAGCTCTAGTTTAGACATCGGAAAGAGAGCTCTAGTTTGTAAAGATGTCCAACAGTTTGGGCGTACCAGGCGTGTTTCAAACAGCAGCAGAAATGTACGCTCGTTATAGAGCGGCAGCTCCTGGACGAGACTAAACTCTCCAGCACTTCCTGTCGGGTGCTGAGGATTTCATGAAGCCACGCCCTCTCTTTTTCGTCTCTGCTCGTCTCCTCCTCCTCAGCAGAACAAAGATCAGAGCTTTCTACTGAATGAACTTCCAGACTCCATTGGCTCTGCAGAGTCCCTCTGCACCTTTAAGAAAAAGCTAAAGACCCAGCTCTTTCATGAATACCTACTAACTTAATGATGATGGTCTCCATATTATTGATGATGATGATGGTTGTCACGATGGTTTTTGTTTGATAAAGATGACTTATAAGGTGGTTTCTATACTGATTAGAGCTCTCAAGAACTGCGGTCAATGTTGTGCTTTGCCTCTGGTCACTTCCTGTCAGCACCTCTGTGTCCAATCAGACTCAAAGCTGATCGTTTGCTCTTACTGACGTTGTCCCCTTTTTTCTAGATCCTTGCTTGTGTTGTACTTACTCTCTGATGTTACTCGCTTTGGATAAAATTGTCTGCTAAGTGAATTGTAGAATTCTACTGAATAGAGGACAGATACAAACATGCTGTGTATCCAAACAGTATTTATTTTTCTGACTATTGTTTCGGTTACCTAGCAACAGGCTGCGTTGCTTTGTGCTCGTGTGCGCTCCCTTTCTACTCTGCAGCGAGCGCAGCGCACACCACGTCCTATCTGAAAGGCCCTTGACGGGGAAAGATTTGCTGTTGATGTCAATGTTTACAAATGATTCAAACTACCGTTTTAGACTGTTAGTAACAGTAAACATCCTGTGACATGCAGATCAACAGAGTTCACTTTGTGTGTTTCAGTTCAGTCAGGCGTCTGCGGTGAGAAGCTACACTAAGTTTGTGATGGGAGTAAGTTCACCCCTCAGACTGTTTGGGTTACATATTGACCTCCTGCGGCTTTAAATTCTTCACTAACGGCGTTCTTTTCTGCAGATTGCTGTGAGTGTTCTGACGTATCCGTTCATGCTGGTGGCCGATCTCATGACGGTCAACAACTGTGGGTGAGTGATAGGGGTGCAATTAAATAATAATCGGTTACAAAAAAAATGTAATCGATCATTGTTTTGTTGTCCACATTTTTGTAAAGCTTCTTGTTGCATTGTGGGTTCTAGGATAGGTCTAATTCAAAACAGAAAAAAAGGAGCATGAGCACAAAAAGAAAATAGATGACAAACAAAGCGCTGATAAAGGCTCTGTGCTGAAACGCGTCCGTTGTTGATCCGTACGCTGCTACCCTAACAAAAATATCCCTTTACTTAACCCCCCTATGAATTCACAATGAACAAAAAGTCCCAAACAAATGAAATATGCAATATGATCTACGGAAGTTCAATTCAAATTGTCTTTTTAGTCCACAGAAAAAGAAGGACTTTCACTTTGCAATTACCGCTTTACTCCGCTAAACCAATGACGTTTGATCATCCAGGACAGAGCAGCATAACTAGATGTTTTCCTTTATTTTGGAATTTTAGATGATTATTCTTTTAATAACTACAAAATGGAACAACCTTATAGGGAGACAGAGCTCAAAGTGGACAGACGAGCGAGATTGAGCGAGTGTGTCATTATGCACAGAGGACAGAGGAAAGATGAAACAGACAGATACTTAAATCATTCACCTGTTCTATTGTAACTTCATTAACCAGAGTAAAGTGTGCTCTACACTGCAGACTGTAGTCTTTGTTAACAGAATGTTGCTGTCAAAACAGCTTCAACGTGCGATGAGTGTGAATTGATGTACGTCCGCTCGCCACACTGCACTAAATATAATAAAGTGTTAAAACGGTCATAACACGTCTGTGTGAATTTTTATTTGAGGTTTGCTGTCTGTTTAAGTAAGAAATGTCGTATCATGCTGTACCCAAGCACGATTAAAAAATAAAAATAAAATAGATGCGCGGACGCCCGCAACATCGGAGAACAACACAGAGAACATGACAGCTACTTTGTGTCTTATATTGTGTCATGTTAGTCAGATACAAACTCTGGATTTCTCCAGAATGAAGGCTGTCAGTGTTGTTTACCCGCGTGCTTGTGCTCGTGCATGAAGTGTACCGTGCTGAAGCACACCTCTCTGAAGTGTGCCAAAGCCAAGGAAGTGTACCGTGCCTGAGTACGATACAGAGCGGTCACACTGGTCAAATGAACTGGACTTTAGGGTTGAAGCGTGCTTGAGCACGGTACGGATGGCCAGTGTGACCGCGCCCTAACAATTATTAAAATCCCGAAGATTCAAATTAATCAACAGATACATTCGGCATCGCGTCATAGTTGGGGGCGGGGCCTCCTGTGGGGGAAAAGAATCACAGAAAAAAAAAGAACTACAGAACGATTACTCGAGTACTCCCTTTAACAATGGGAAGGGTAATCGATTAGAGAAAATTTTGCATTTCTGCACCCCTAGTGAGTGATGATCAGGAACATTTTTTTAATGTTGGGACAGTTTGTGTTCAGTCCAGTCTACACACATAATGTGGGGTCATGGTTTTGTGTCGTCAGTTTGGCTGCAGGTCTTCCTCCTCGCTCTCCCGTCTTCAACTCGTGGCTGCACTGCTGGAATCACCTGAGCCAGAAGGTAACGAATCGCATGAAGGTGTAGGAAACGAATCTGGTGTTTATGAGAGCAGTCACTTCCTGCTTACCAGAGTGACCACGCCCCCATTTAGGTGAAACATAATAAGTTGAACTTTTAGAGGTCGACCATGTTGTATCCCCGTACTTAGTCTTTAGCCTTTACAAAGTGAAAATATACAACAGCGCTGACGTCATGACGCCTAAATGTTGATCCCGCAGACGTATGTGATGGCGACCCAGTCTGTGGATTCACGCTGTGTTTTGGCATTGCAGGAGCTCCACACACACACACTGCTAAAGTGTCTTCAGCAGCAGTTACACAAGGCTTCTATTTTTGCCGGATCTTTTGATTCTTTAAATCAGAAAGCTTTTTTAGAAACATATTTATGATGGAGGTTGTCATTTTAACGGATCATGTAAAGTCTGTTTGTGTCCCCTCAGGGTCACCTCTTCAGAGGATCCAGCTTCTTTTTCCGCCGGGTGCCCGTGAGCTCCCTGCCCCCCATCGAGGACTGACATCATCACTTCCTGGGATGTTCTTCCTCATCCTGCTCAGAAACGTTTTCCAAAGACTCATCCTGCAGAGACGCAGCTCATGAAGGGCCAACAAAGTGTTTGTTTTGTTTTTAGGCGAGGCGTTTCTCTTAATTCATCAGCTCAGAAAAAAGTGTTGACCGCGCGCTGTGAGGCTGCAGCTGAGGCTCATGGGTAATGCAGTCATTCAGCCTGAGAAGAAAAAAAAATCTCAAAGTGGAATCATTTCCAAAAACGCCTTTTTCTCAAGTCTTATTTCTGTTTCTGTGTGGAGATAAGTGGAGTTAGGGCGCACTCACACTCGCCCAGTTGTCACCTCTTCCAACCGTGGCAGGGCAAAGGAAGTGAGGACCAGAGCACTAGCCAGAAGAACTGGACTTCAAGGTTGAAGTGTGCTTGGTACGGATTACCTCGTGTGAGTGCGCCCTTAAATCCAAACTAATATCAGTCACCTGGACTGAACAAGTGTGTGTGAAACATCTGGATGTTTTTTGTTTGGCATAAATATATATAAATTTATATTTATATAAATGTAAAAGATCCCTGGAATAATACTTCAAATCTTACATAAGATGTGAAAAAAAATGTAACATGATCTTAAAGAAGTGAAAACAGTGTTCTTTTTTTAAATATAGATTTTCTTCTTTTAAAATATTTTTTTATTCTGTTGTTGTACGCAGTCCGTGTCGCGTTGAAATGTGTCCCCAGAGGACGAGTTAAAAGCCATAAACATGAACGTGTCTTTGTCGAGTGGTGACGTTTGTATCTGTTTGTCTGAACTGAAGGCCCGTGATGTTTTCATGTTCAGGTTTGAGTCTGTTTGAGTCTTGTGTTATTTTATTTCTCGGTTTGGAAGTCGATTAAAAATCTTTGCTTCCATTCATGTCGTCAATGATTATGTTTTCATACTTTAATTCTCAGATGGGGGCTGCACAGTGGTGCAGTATTTCGAGCTGTTACGTTCCTGGTTTGAATCCCCGTCTGACAGGAGCCTCTCTGTGTGGAGTTTGCATGTTCTCCCTGTGCATGCTTGCTGTTTCTGAGAACGCAGCCGAGCGTCACTTTACCGCCACTGATCCAAAAGTTGTTTAAAAAAAAAAAAAAGGACACAACAGATTAAGTGCAGAGTAATTCATTGTCAAATAGCAGAAAACATACATCAGCCTCACACTACAAGGAGAACAGTGGTTTAAATAATGTACACCCACCTTCCCAAACACCCCGCTCCCCCACGTCTGACTCACACGCGCTGCAGGATGACCCCGAGCAGAGCGCGCACACACACATGCTGCAGGATGACCCCGAACAGAGCGCGCACACGCGCTGCAGGATGACCCTGAGCAGCAGAGTGAGCACACACACATCTGACACACTGAGCAGCAGAGTGAGCACACACACATCTGACACACACGCTGCAGGATGACCCCGAGAAGAGCGCGTACACACACGACTGACCCACACACACGCTGCAGGATGACCCTGATCAGAGCGGGCATACACACACGTCTGAGCCTCACGTGTAGAAAACAACATACACATCGTGTCTACTGAGCATGCTCACATCCTCACCTGCAGATTGAAACTACAAACACACGCACACACATGGGCGCACACACACAAAGTGGCATCATCAATAAAACAAGTCGTTCCATGTGCTCTATTGCTTTAAGCGACTCTTCTGCTGTTTGGTAAAAAGCATGCGGAGCAGAAACTTCCCTCTAACAGACAGTTGGTTTAAAAATAGTGACCCCCCCATCATAGAAAAAAGCTCCACTGCGTGCTTCTCTAAAATGTGTTAAATGTGCTGAGCTTCATCTACACACAACCTGAATACACCGAGCGTTACGTGACAGACGGAGCCGAGACATACGGAAGCCCATTCCTGCCAAGAAAGACAAAATATGACACGTTGGGAACGACATGATTATAAAATTGTTTGACCAAAAAAATCCAGTTATTGATTATACCAAAATCAAAATGGATCCTCTGACATGATACGAGTCGCATCAGTTTGAGGTCCAACCTTTGCATTATTATTATTTTATTTTTTTACTTCCTGGAGAATCTTTAAAATAACCCTTAAAATCTGAAAGACCCAAAGGTCAAGTTACTTTTAACTATCTGCTGCAGCTGATAAATGGCGCCCTCTGCTGTTTTACACCGCATTAAAAGTCAAAAATAAAAAATGACATTATCATCAAAAATAAAACCCGATGTCGTGGAAGCATCAGCCTGATCTCTGGCTAAAAAAAAGTAGAGCCTGCATCCTCTAAAGGCTTTTTCTGTTTGCGCGACACTTTTTTTCACTCAAAACCTTTCAACTTTTCAGAACGGCGCTATTTTCTAAATTTCCAATATTCCCCGTACTTTTGCCTCCTACAGATCGTGTCAAATATAAAACATTCAGTTAAAAGTAACGGAGCATTGTCGGTCATACAGCAGCTGTTATAAACAGACTGTTGTAATAGTAACAGGACGGACGTGCAGCGCTTTTCTTCTCAGTGCACACACACTTCATGCACGGGGTCTAACATTTGTCTCTTTACTGCAAGCCTCAAACTCAACTCAGCAAAATGACGACTTGAAACCAACACCTGACAAAGTCAAAGTTATGAAATGTTATTATCTCAAAGTTATATTAAGTCATGATTCTCTCGTTTTTTCGTCTTTGTTTTGGTCGGAATGAGCTTCCGTATTTCACCTCGAGTGCCAGGACAACCGTCCCAGAAGAAAGATAAAGCAAAGAGTCATGTCAGGTCCAGGCGACATTCACACAAACAGCATTTTGGAATTATTGTGGCGAAAACAAAAACGTCTCTGTGACCCCGTTTAGACTTCTTTTACATTCATTTTTTTTTTTAAATGACAGCATTTTGGATATTGTGTTCACTGTTAGCCCTGTGCTTATAAACGTCTAAATAAAAACTCCACACTGCAAAGAGAAATTAAAAAAAAAAAAAGTGTGAAAGGTGGAGTCGTTCTTTAAAGATGTCAAGCGTCTTTTAAAAAAAAACCAACACAAACATTCAGGGTGAAGAAAGTAATGCTATGAGCGACCCTCCAGCTGACATCAAACATTCTGACATCAAATTTAAATATACAAAAAATAACTCAACAAGCAAACTAATCTCATGTCCTGTGAAGAAGCAGAGGAGGGGAAACAAAGGCCTGACGACAGAGCAGAGCTTTGACAAACTGATGAAACATTATTTATCCCCACAAAGCTGCTGATCGACAACACACTCCTTCACAATGTAACTGATGTTTTAAATAATATCATGGTGACGTGTCTGTGTGGAGAACGTCTCCCTGTGACTGTGGATAATGACTCTCATTGGGACAGTTTTCTCCTCGGTCTGACTTCAGCTTCTCTGTTGTTTCTGCTACAACTCAAAACAAACCGAGAAGCCGACAGTCTGATCAGAAACACAAGGAAACCATTTTCAGACTGTAGCTAAGATCAGCTGTCATCACTTCTTTGTAGAGTTTTTCAAGACAGCGCAATTTTGGTGTCCTACAGTGGCTATCACACTTGCAGAAATCAGCAAGTCAGCCTTACTGTTTGAAAGACTAGGGAGGAGCAGTGTTTAAGAATTTGGTAATAAAGCACATTATAAACGACTTTTGATGTTTCACAGGGAGACTGAGAAACGGTTAAGTGTTTGCAAACGATGAAAGATCTGTGCAGAATCAGCCCAAAGTTCTCCGATAAGAAGTCCAGATATTTGATTACAAATCGGACAGAGATCCAACTTTAGTTTCAGATCTGTGCATCTGAACTCTGCAGATATTTGTGGGGGAATATTGACTTCAGTTTGTAGATCCTGGTGTCACTTTGCGTCCACACTTTTGACTTTTCTAAATCAATAAAAACACACAAACCAAACACACATTTACCGAGCTGTAGGCCTGACTGGACTGAGAGTTGCATCAAACATTTTTAAGGTGCTAAAGGTGTCAGAAACTTAAGGAGGGGGAGGGGGGAGAGGGGGTCACTGCCAAAATGTAACAAGACTCGACAAAATGCATCATTCTCTTCTAATCAATTCAACGAGCAGATCTGGCAAATATTCGACCTATAAAAGTTCTAAGAAGCGACGTGACAGAGATGAAGCAGAAACACAGTTCAGCTCACAGTCTTTGGTTCGGCCATCTGAAGAAGCCTCGGTGAGCTCCAGCAGGAAACCAAGAGGAACATTTGGACAGAATCCCTGAAGAGCACCTGGTTACCTTCAAGTGGAGACTAAAAATAAAAGAAACGTTTCAGCTGATAAGTCGACGAGTGATGGAGTGGAAAGAGAGGAGGAGCCCTTGGTAGATCCAACAGACTGGTGCTGGTTTACAGAGAGGGAATGTAAATGATGCTGGTATCAGGAATGAAGGCGTCCCACAGAATCCTTTAATCCCAGTTCAGTTCTCGCACACGAGCAGGAAGAATAAAAAAAGGGTACCCTCGGAAGAATCAGAGAAAGAGAAGACTGCAGAGGTGAAGGCAGCAGTTCCTACAGTGGAAAGCAGCAGATGAAAGTGAGCCCCGTTATTATTTGTCCTGAGGTAACGCTCAGGTATCGGAGAACAGACAGAGTTCTCCTCTCGGGGGGTTTGGACGACTCGTTCAGGTGTCATGATGCTGTCGGTTTTAAATCCTATGGGACCGGCTTCATCTCTTCCCGGACTTCATGTAGGACGGAATCGCCCCTCGAGCCGTGAGGCCCTCGAAGCGTTTGTAGGTGTAGTTGATGAAGACCCAGTCCTTGTTCTTCAGGTCGGCCTCGGTCTGGTTGGACACCGGAGCAGCTGGAGAAGGAGAAGAAGAAGAAGAAGGTTTTTAGTCATCAGAACAGAAGAACAAGTCAAAGTCAGGTCAGCAGAAACCTGCGGCCTACCTGTGGGTGTGAGGATGTCTGAATCGGGGAACTCGTCAAAGTTTGAGGTGTCGTCGATGCTTTTGATCTCGATGGGGATGGCAGCTGGTCTCTCTCTGCGAAACACATCAGTGCAAGTTTAAATTGAGTAACGTGTAGCTCAGCTCACACTGAAGGAAACAAGTACCAGCCAATCACAGGCATGTTTGGGTAGGGCGTGATATCAGGTGTCTTTTTATTTAACCCACAATCTGATCATGAGTAAATGTCACTTAAGATCACACAGAGTGACAGCTCCCACCTGATATGATCGTAGTCCACTCCCTCAAAGAACGGGTTGGACTTGATCTCCTCGACTCCTGCGGCACCGATCCTGTGCTCCTCCTCGCAGCAGAACCTGTGAACAACGCAACATCACTTAATGTCGTTCACACTCAACTCAACTTAAATACAAACAATTCCAGGAGGTAGGGGGTGTCACATCAGACGGTGCATCCTTTTACAAAACACAGACAAATAAAACTGCTGATATTTGATGTTTTCTGGTGACTGAAGAGAGAGAGAGTTATGAGCATGAGCAGAGTGTGTTCCTACCTGAGGATGAGGTCTTTGGCCTTCTCTGAAATAGGCACTTCTGGGGGGAAGATCAGCGTCTCTCGCCAGTTCATCACCTTCCTGTACGTCTCCTGAGGCGTCTCCGAGCAGAACGGAGGGTAACCTGCGCACAGATTAACCGCCATTAAGATCACATCAAGCGTAGTCTGAAAAACCCTGAAGGTGAATCAGCTGAATTCTTACCTATCAGCATCTCATACATGATGACGCCCAGGCTCCACCAATCACAGAGCTTGTTGTATCCGTTCTGCATGAAGACCTCTGGAGCGATGTAGTCCGGGGTCCCGACTGTGGAGAAAGCCTGACGGAGAAGATGAGCAAGTTAGAGGCAGTTTGAGATGAAGGGGAAATACAAAAGATTTTTTCTGGGAACTGAACTTTGAAGAATTCTTTATTTTACTGTGATGATCGCAGAAACCTTTAACACAGATACTAAAGATCTATCCGGTCTGTGTTTAGACGTACCAGCTGCCTCCTGTTCCTCTTCCAGGTCTCTGCTTTCCTCTTGGAGTTCATGTTCTGGAAAGCTGTGGAGAGGAGACGGAGCAGTTTGTAAAAAATCAAGAAAAAACTGAATTACTTATATAAGCATTCGACCCGTTACTGTATTTGTATTCGCTCTGAACTCTTAAGGTTCAGGCGCCATAGCTCGGTGCATAAAGGGCAGTCACACATTGCAGTAACCTCACCCCAATACAGTTGGCAGTAATGCTCGTAACCGCTGTCAAAAAAAAAACACAAATGCAGAAGAGGACGGGAGGAAGGAGACTGTTCGATGGAGCAAGAAGAGCTGTCTGCTGTTTTAAGATGCATGGGGGGAAACTTCAGGTTAGCAGCGCGAGAAGGCGTCAAACATGCTAAAGAATATTAGACGACATCTTCCAAAAAGGAGCCAATCACCCGAGCCGGGCAAAAGAAAACACCTTTCACGTTGTGTTAAAAAAGCCTCTGGATATACAGGGCTCACATTAACCAGCCCGACTTCCTTTCCTGATGTATACGGGCCCTAAATGTGCATGAATGACCGATGCACCAGCTGTTCACTAACAACCATGTGACCGCACACTGAAGTCCTGCACGGGTGCGGGCGTAAAAAAAAGCTCAGTCGCACACTTCATTACCCAGAACGTCCACCAGATGCGTGTGTATTGCATGTCAGCTACGCTCTTGTACGGCTCCGTGCTCACTTGTCCGTCAACACCCACATGCTGCGTTCACAGAGCGCAGCACGGAGCAGCACCGCCAGACAGCTGGAGCCCCCGCAGTAATTACAGAATCACGTGCAAGACAGGACGTATGTGGTATGACATCGTATCAACAAACACACAAGGTCATTGTTCGTCAAAACGGGAGTGTTTCCAGTTAACAAACATTGTTAGCATGCATGCATCATTTGAAATAACTGAACGTGGTTGCCTGACTTTGCTTGCTGAGGTCACTGGGCAGGCTGTGGTTCAGGTTCTTGTAGAACTCAGTCCGGTGAGCTCTCTTCAGCCCCGTGCACAGACCAAAATCTGACAGCTTCACATGACCCTGTAAACACAAAAAACACACTTATTACTACAGACATCTGCAGCACACACTCCTCAAATCAATAAACCTCCACCTCCTGTCACAATGCTGTAGATTAAATCAAAAGCTTGTTAAGAATTAAAAAATGGACACGATGACTGACCCTGGAGTCCAGCAGCAGGTTGTCTGGTTTGATGTCTCTGTGAATGAAGCCCAGCTGGTGGATGGAGTCGATGGCCAGCACCGTCTCTGCGATGTAGAACTGAGTGGCTTCTTCTGTCAGAGTGTCCTTCTTCATCAGCAGGGTCATCATGTCTCCTGCAGCACAAAAAACAGCAGAGATAAACCCTCGCTGATTTTCTCTTTTAAGAGTCCTCCTTACAGAGTTGTGGTCCAGGTTTCAGGGGTCTTACCTCCAGGCAGGAACTCCATGATGAGGTAGAGGTTCATCTTATCCTGGAAGCTGTAGAACATTTTGACCACCCACAGACTGTCTGCCTCCACCAGGATGTCCCTCTCAGCACGGATATGACCCACCTGACAACACAGGTTTTAAATAAGTCCACAAAGATGAAACACCAAAGTTTACTTTGTGCGTTCATTCTGCTGCCTCACCTGTTCTTTCTCCAGCATGTCAGCTTTGCGGAGGATCTTCATGGCGTACACATGACCTGTGTCTTTCTTCTGCACCAGGCGGACCTGAGGACAAACACACATGTCAAGCTGAAACCTCCAGAACGGGGAAAAAATAAAGCTTAAGAGGTCTTACTGATAATACATGAATATGAAACACAAATAATTAAAGTGCATGTGTTCTTCAGCTGATACTTGGTGGACTTCAGCCTGAGGATGTTTGTATGAGCAGACAGAGACTCTGCGGTTAGTCACTGATTCTCTCTCTCTCTCTCTCTCTCTCTCTCTCTCCCTCTCTCTCCCCTCTCTCTCCCTCTCCCCCTCTCTCCCTCTCTCTCCCTCTCCCTCTCCCCTCTCTCCCTCTCCCCCTCTCTCCCTCTCCCCCTCTCCTCTCTCTCTCTCTCTCTCTCTCTCGTTACAGACTCGGGAAACGTTGCTGCTATGATAACTCTGTCTACAGTCTTATGACACAGAGAAGTGTTTGGTATCTGTGATGAAGCCACAGACACCAAACCATTGAAGCACTTCCCACAACTGCCGGGTTTAACTTGTATGAAATGTCTTTGACAAATAAAATATATTTATATAAAAGGTTTTTACCTCCCCGAAAGCTCCTCGGCCGATCACCTTGAGGGACTCAAAGTCCTCGAGACCCAGTCGAGTACGTTTCAGACGCAGGAACTCTGTCTCTTTCCTCGCATGTTGGGAACGCCGCATTCGTTTCTGCAGGAAAAAGACGCAAGTTTTAGAAACAGCATTGAATGTGATACGGTAATCACCAGCTGCATTACATAAATCACAACATCTAAACGGTACTCATAACGCAAAAACTAAAGTTCACTGCTATATATCCGTCCTCCAGGAAGTCTGTTTGTTACGAGTGATGACAGTCCTGGAAATCGGTTCAGTTCAGAATGCAATGTTTCTAATATCTACTGTTTAAGACCAAGTTCAAAATAACGCCCTCGACCCTCGACAGACTAACTTACAAAATGTTATTTATGCTTGTTTTTTTATTTCTCAGTTGTTGTCTTCTAAGAATGCTGTCAGATGTGTTTTGAGCAAAGAGGCTTGACTTGTTGCCAGGGTAACGTAAAATAGAAAAATAATGCAAAATTCTTGAAGCTACATTTTTAGGATAGCAGAAGTTGTTGGATGCTTTGGCTCCTGTGGGTCCCATCGTTTTAGATGCTCAGTACACTCAAAAAATCCACAAAGCATGCTGGGAAACCTCTGCAGGTGTTTGTCCCTCTCACCTCTTCATCAGCCAGGCCCTCCTGATCCATAACCTTCTCCAACTTCTGCTGCCTGAGAACACAATCTGACTGTTAGTATCACGTCATAAGTAAAAAATTAAGTTATTCAGATACGTGTCAATAATTTGCCAACAAAAATGAAGTTGTGTGTGTTTCTAGTCGAGAGTCAAAGCTGGCAGACGTCAAGAATAATAAACAGAAAGGAACATATAAGATTGGAACATCCTTAGTCGTGGAGAACCTAAAAATTGTCGGTAGGTGTGAATGTGATTGGCAGGTGAATAACCCAGGGTGTAACCTTGCCTCTCGCCCAATGACAGCTGAGATCGGCTCCAGGGCCCTAAGCCCCAGAACGGGAAAAGCGGTTCAGATAATGGATGAATCTTTAGTTATTTGCAAGAAGACAAAAAAACATGGCGTTGCAATTTGAGCACAACATTTGACCGACATCGAAGGCCAACATTTAAATAATTAGTTCAACCGGGGCATGGGTGGCCTAGTGGTTTAGTTTGCTCACCCCATGTGCGAGGACAGAGTCATCTCTCTCTACTGTCCTGTCTCTAAAATTGAGGCATAAAAAGGCCCAAAATAAACCTAAAAATAAATAAATAATTAGTTTAACCAACCAGTAATTCTGGTGCCGACTACCATGGGTCATGACTTTTAACCTTTAGGTCAACTTAACGAGAACATCCCTACCTTGGTCATCCCTAACCTTGATGACATCGACACGTTTCCAACTGAATAATTAACCATGTTGACAACACGACACCCAAAGGATATCAACGACATCTCAATCACAAAGGATGAAATTAAATACTTTAATCTAAAGACTACGCTTGTCAAAGTAGTTGATGATCCTCCGTGTCGGGCAGATTAAATTACTCGCTTACTGTCACCTACTGTTGATTTGCCTGTTTCTTAAAGCGTGCTATCAAAACTAAGTTGGGTAAAATAGATGCTGTCTGCTCTGTGAAGCAGCAGCAGAGTCAAAGCACGGCGCAGCAGGAATCAGATGTCAGTGCTCACGTGGTGAGAGTGAGAGGAGGTGACCCAGAAACATGTAAATAAGCCACCAACTGACAAGACGTTGTCAAAGGATCCACTGTTAATGATTGAGTTACATTCATGAGAGCTCAGACAGAAAGCAACCAGACAACACTGTTCTCATGGCAAAGGGAAAACAAATACAGAAATATCAACCTACAGTTTCCTTTTATTACCTTTTCACTATAGTCTGCAAAAGTAAATACATTCTGCCGTCAACTATCTGAATGCAGACCAGCAGCTATTCTGATATACTGAGCATCATCAGTTAACTTCTGAAACCGTTCAGTGTATCCAGGAACGTCAGGAGTTTTTATTCACTGTGAAAACATCCTGACCATCACAACCCAACAATACAGATTTCTGACTCTAAATCTCTGCATTACATTTTTTTAGTGGTTTAAAGTTTCAGAGATGCCACCACCAATTTTATTTCAGATTTATTTCTGTTTTTTTATGCCGTTTTATGCCATTATTTGAGAGACGGGACAGTGGATAGAGTCGTGAGAGGGGGGAATGTCATACAGGAAAGAGAGACTGTGCGAGGCTGTCTTTCTCTTTTATGCTCGACCCTGAGTTGGCCCTATTTGATTTGGATGTGCGTGTTTTTTACGGGAAAGGACTCACAGGGTCGGATTCGAACTGTGACTCCCGGGCTAGAGGACCGCCGCCTCTGTACATGACCGAAACCAGCCTCCAGCTCCACTGAATTTTCACCTTTTACCATAAATATCTCTCCTATTTTTATCCCACGGTTACACAAATCTTTATTAACCTCTAGCATAACAAGTCACAAAGATGTTACAAAGCCTGACGAATCAGACAATTTAACAATCAAATGTTTTTTATGCTTATTTCTCTGTGTGTATCAACTTTTAAGAAGGAGTAGCAATTGCTTTTTTTAATTTTCCTGTGTATTACATTTGCTTTAGTCTGTAATAACAACATTACAGGTCCTAAATCAGGGTGCATGCTCACATATTATCGTACAGATCTGTTCTGCATCTTACCTCATCTCTCTCTCTTCGTGCTGGGCGATGAGGTTACTGTAGAAGTTCTCCAGGGTCACCTTGGCCATGGTGACCCGCTCCTTGGTGTGGTTACTCATGGAGGAGCATGAGCTTTGGCCCGTCATTGCCATGCTTTACCTGGAGAAGCACCAAAAAAAACAATGAAGTTAACAGAGAGCGTGTACACAGTACAATACATCCACTGTCACTCCCGGCTGCTGGAAACTCATGTTGATTCAGACTGCTGCCACATTGCTGAGACCACTAAGGAGTGATGTAAGATGAATAATAAAGGGCTGAAGGAAGCAGCAGAATAGACCAAAAAACTTCTGCACTGTAAAAAAAAACAAAAAAACCCTGATGTTATACTTAGGTCAGTGGTTACAACACTGAGTTCAGCTCTCAAAAGTTGGAAGTATGAAATGAGACGATTGCTGACGCAGAAAAAGAGGAAGGAGAGCTGAACAACGTTGATAACATTGAGACAGGCGGTTATGAAGAAATTATGAGGAAATCTGATTTGTGCAAGCACTGTGTGATGTCTTTGTGTGAGTATACACTGAGTTCTGAGAAAGGCAGCACAATTAATAGAACAATAACCTAATCATAAATCAGCAGCTTTTAGAAAATCAGAATTTAAACTTGACTAAACTCCAGTAAAATCGGTCCCACTACCAAACCATAATCATGTTTGTCTCGTCTTGTATTGATGCCTTTCCTAAATAAAGGTAGACTCATTTCATAGATTGAAGCAAATAAAAGCGTGTGCCATTAATATATGTTTACGGTATGAACATAAAAAGCAGACTGCATCAAACTTTCATCATCATTTTCATGCCGCATTGTATACATAAATAGGAAAGACATCGCAATGTCAGTTATTTTGTAATATCGTGGTAGCCTGACAAACACTGTATCGTGTTGAACATTTTGACCATCACCACAACATTTTAGATAGATAGAATCTTTACTATCGTTGTATACAAGGACACAACGAAACTTCGTTAGCAGCAATCTTAAACAGCAGCGTTTACAAAAACAACAACAACAAAAATGTATTTGTGGTGATATGAGAGAGAAGTATGCAAAAAGTGGCCAGAGCAATTGCTGTTCAGTGAATGAATGATAATAATAATAATAATAAATAAATAGACAGTTGTGGTGACTGAGAGAATATATACAGTTATTATTGTGCAGTGACTGATTAATTAAACAAATTTAAATATCGAGATATAGTGCAAATAAGTGAAGTTATGGTGCAGTGACAGAGTATATAGTTATTATTGTGCAGTGACTGGATGAGTAAATAAATAAATAGACAGTTAAAGTGCAGCGACTGAGTAAATAAATAGACAATTATAAAGCAGTGAATTACTAATAGCTTTTTTATAGTTTTTATAATTTTACAGCTTTCTTTGAAATGTTGACCACTCTCAGTCAATGTTTACATGATTAAAATATGTATTAAATATGTGTGAACAATGGTTTATAAAATAAAGTATTTCCTGCTCTTTAGTGAACTCAACAGCTCTGTCAGTTTGAGATGAAGGCGGAGACGTAGAGAAGAACCTGGTGAAGGGGATTATATATCACATATTAAATGCTTTAACCAACATGTAAGACTCCTACACTTACATTTGTACACAGTTTTCCAACCTAGGCTCGACTAAACCTTCTTCGGATAGAAACAAACAGCGTTGAAGTCTTTATTTCTGCTCAGCTGTCCCACACAGTGTAAACAACACGTAGCCACCAAAGTTGTTAGTTTCGGTGGCAATTCAGGCGCAAAGAGTGAAAGAAGTAATTTAACTAAACACTCGATGAACTCCAGACAAACTTTACCTTGTTTAAAGTTAGGAATTCAAGCAAGTTGATCTGGAAACGTAATGAAAAATGGGCTTTTACCTGCTAACAGTAGTTAGCTGGCTAGTTAGCTATTAAAGTTCAAAGATGCGTCAAGCTCAGGATAGAACGTTTGATTAGCGACTAATGCCTCCTTCAAAATAAAAGCAATATAATTTATGAAAAGGCAATTTGATTGGCAGTTCTTTGTTGTGAGTTTTATTTTGAAGGCACACAACGGAAAGTCCCCTCCTCCATTTTTGCTACCTTGACAACCTGAAGTTAACCAAAGCGAACAGCTAAGGGAAAGTTAGCTGGTGGACGTTAGCCACTTATCTGCTACAACAGCTTGAGTCGTTCGTTTTAAAATAAAACCGTGTAAGATACAACACGTCTTTATTCCCTTTTTGTACGAGAACAAACTAAAGAAAACACTCAAAATAAAGTATTCTTTTGCTTTCAGTATCTGTTTTCTTTAATAGTTGGTCTTTGTTCGCTTACCTTGGTCGAAGGTGCGGTGTCTGTCTGCCGTCTCTTCCTCTGCTCTGCGGAATGTTGCGTCACCATAAATTACAACTCAACACGACCCCTAGTGGCCAACCCGTTTATTTACTCTGCGTTTTCCCTTCTCTCTTTTTTCCAATCTATGTTTTCCTTATAGACTTTAAATATTATATCTATATTATACATTTTCCACACATTCCTTTGAAGGTGCACTATGTAGTTTTGGTAGAGAAATGTGAAAGTAAACATACAACATTAGAAATACAAGCAGTACAGACTTGTTCCCAACGTAATGGCATACAAGGACAAATATGCTTTAAAATAAAGAAATCCAAAGCAATGATTGTTTAAAATAACAAAACATGAGGGAAGGCTATTTGAGATATAAAACTATTAACTATTAAATACCTAAGCAACTTAAAAATGTGATTTAAAATGGGTTTTTTTTAAATTTTGTTAAATGGCTCAAAATAAAGTTTGATGTTTTTGTTTGTTTACCTTTTTTAAGTGTTTTTAATGTGAGAGTCCTACACAAATCAGAAAACTATTAACGCAACAACAAATAGCATAAAGTATATGGACCTTTTCCAAATTATTCCAGAGCAGTGGTTCCCAAAGTGGGGGTCGAAGTCGGAGCAAATAATGATAATGAAAAAAAAGTCATTTGTTTTGCCTTAACTGTAAGGGAGAGATCTTCTGCGAGCACTACATTTTCACGTTTGCTCTTTGACCTTGAATATTAGTTAACTTAGCAAGCAGAGCAGCTGACCGAGTCGAGCGTGCACCGCTGGGGGTCAGAGGAGGGGGCGGCAGTCAAATACTTAGCTTATCTAGCAGGCTGAAAGAAAAATAATAAGCTAGTTACAGTATAAATCATACACTGTAAATAGCAGTGGACGAAGCCTGAGTGACGTCACCCGTCTTGTTACAGCAACCCTACACCTCTGGTTAGAGGGGCCCCGTGTGAATTTTTTACCTTGTGCTCAAAACAGACTATAATCTCTGCTGGTTATACCTGTGAGTTTGAACTACAGATGATGGAGAATTATCTGAAAAGGCTGGTCAGACAAATCAGCAGATGCAGAGTTTGCCTGCTGTTATAGGACTAAAATAAATTACATTCTGTCATTGAGGAGGAGAGAAGAAGTGAAAAGAACATTAAACTGAAGTTTATTTTTACACAACATTTACGAGTTTTCTTTTGTGCATTGGAGCTGGGAGCTCCTGAGCTCTCTTGTCCCGTAGGTTCTCTCTGGACCGTTGGTGGGGACGGCCTGCTATCTACGTCAACAATAAGAAACTTGAAAGAAGCTGTGATAAAAATCAGAGACTGCAGGCACTGTGACTTAAAAAACTAGTCTTTTATTTGAAATGATTTCCTGCTCGTCAGCGACAGACTGCGGCCTACAGGTGGAGCTGAAGTCTCTCGTTCTGCCAGTGTTTCACAGAGTAGCAGCAACATAGCCGTACAGTAATTCACACATTAATTATTTTAAACCAACACAGGACATAAAAACACACACAGTGCAACATTCCCATCGTCTCCTATGTACTCCTCTATATATATACACACACACACACACACACACACACACATTCACACACACAGCTAGTGTTTCCTCGCCTTCTCCCGTTTCTTCTTCTCCTGGTACTCAGCGATCTTTTTGTGAAATATTCCTGCAGGAGAAAAAAACACAAATAAGTTTCCGGTTTAGAAAATGATTGTGTCAACATGAGCTCCAGTTGGAGGATTAAGTAACGACAGTTCAATCTGAAATGTGTGGGTTGTTGTTTGTGGTCGAGACTCTGAAAATCAGTTCACTGCAGTCGCATCTCTGAAAAAAAATCTGCACAAATATGATGCAGTAACCAGAAACCAGGATACTAGTATTTATGATGTATACAAGGGTATGAATAAACATGTTTCTCTGTGTGCATGTAAACACCAGATCCTGAATATGATCCAAACCAGGATACTCTAAATCCATGTGAACACACTCACTGGAGTCTGCTGGATTTGAAAAGACAGATGTTATTTTAGTGTGAAAATTGTCACCTTGCTGTGGTCCACGCTGCTGCTGCTCCACCTCCTGGATAAAAAGGTCAAACATCTGCGTCTGGAGGAACTTCTTGACAAAGTGTCGGGTGGTTTTGGACTCGATGGCCTTGTAGAAACTTCTCTTCGCAAACACCCCCGGCTCCCCCGAGTGGCCGTATTTCACATACGGGGCGTAATGGCCGACTGTCCTCACAAAGAAATGCAGGAAGGCTTCCGACACCACCCGGTTCAGCTCCTCTACCGCTGGAAGAAAAAAGACAGAAAACACAAGTGATGTTAAAACTACATCTCTGTTGCTCCGACGTAAACCAGTTTTTTTTTCTTGTAGGAGTTGGTGTTACTCTGAAACTGTTTTTTCTTCAGGCCCTGAGTCAGTCATTAGGCTGGCGCCAGATGAGGCGCCAGCTCTGAACCAGTCCTGGAAATGACTCGGTGGAAAAGGGGATCACAGAGAGTCTGGTCCTGCTCGAGGTTTCTGCCTGTTAGAGGAAGTCTGTCTAGCCAGCTTCTAAGTGCTTGTGCATGACAGATGGATCTACCTGCACCCTGAGATATCCCCATAAATAAAAATGAGACTAATCAGATAAACGTGTGTTTGATTCTCTTTACTTACTCGACGCTTTCTGTCTTTTGCTCAGAGCCTCCATGATTTCAGCTTGGAGCTTCGGCGGCAGAATCGAGCTTTCATCTCCAATCTGGAAAGGTTTAGATTTACACAAATGTCCCATAAATATATAATGAATATCTGATGAAGAAAAGATAGTTTCATAAAGTACATGTGAATACAACACTTACCGACTCGATGAAGGTCTGCTTTTTGTCCTCGGACAGGTCGACCACGAGCAGCTGTTTCAGAGAGAGAGAAGAAGAAAGCTGACTTCTGATTTTATTCTAAATAAATGAAGTTTTTCTTTGTGTCCTTCATGCTGACTCACGTCGCCCTGGTCTATGACCAGGTCCAGCAGGTGTTTCTGGACCCCCAGCAGGTAGGGCGTGGGAGCCATCACCACGTCGATGAGGATCTCGGGTACGATGGAGATGAGTGTGTGCTGCCAGGTGAACGGGTAGAGCAGCGCGGCCACAGCGTGAATGATCTGAGATAACGTGCTGCAGAGACACGAGAGAAACGATCGGGTTCAGGTCAATTAATCATCGACAGAATGGAGGGGGGGGGCAGTGGATAGATTCATAAATTGAGGAGAGAGAGTGAGAGAGAGTGAGAGAAATAGTGAGAGAGAGAGTGAGAGAAATAGAGAGAGAGAGAGTGAGAGAGAGAGTGAGAGAAATAGAGAGAGAGAGAGTGAGAGAGAGAGTGAGAGAAATAGGCCAGATCTGAGGAGCACAGACCCGAGTTCATCGGCTATGAAGACGATTCGTCTCTCCAGGACGGCGGAGGCGAACACGAGCAGCACCTCCTCGTCCGTCAGACAGCCGAACAGAACGCCGAAGTTCACGTGTTCGAGCCAGGAGTCCAACGGCCGAGTCAGACTGATGATCTGAGAGAGAGAGAGAGAGAGAGAGAGAGAGAGAGAGATCACAAACATGTCAACAACAACATCAGCATCATCAGTCCACTGACAACCTTAAACACGACATGGCCTGAGTGTGTGTGTGTGTGTGTGTGTGTGTGTGTGTGTGTGTGTGTGTGTGTGTGTGTGTGTGTGAGAGAGAGGGCGGGGGGGTACAGATGTATTTCTTCCTCTTTATGTTGTTTGTGTTTTATTGAAGACGTTTACTCTGCTGTCAGAATGAAGAAGAGTCTTCACATAGAGAGAGCTGATTTTGTAGTCGACTATCTGTTGAAACTCTCCCGTGGCCTGCTGGGAGAGGTGTAGTGTTTCTGCTCTCAGGTAAAGGTGAAGTAATGCAGGACATGTTCAGACATGACGCCACACACACCCGCCTGCAGGATCTACAGCGAGCTTCCAGCAGGGTTGCCATGTCGGACTTTTTATCATCAACTTTGGTTATTTAGCATCTCTTAAAGGTACAGTCATTAGCTTGATCCTTCAAAATAAAACACAGACTTCTCCTAAAGTGAAGCTGCTCCATCGTCCCTTCTGGGCCTCCATACATGTGTGGTGGTGACTGTGTCTGCAGAGACTCTGTCCTCTGACTGGATTTTACTGTTCTGCTTTGTTCTGGTTGACTCGGGACGTTTCTGGGCGGAGCTGGTGTGTTTCCTCCAGCCAATGACAGCACAGCAGGTGAGTTTAGGAGTGGATACAATTCAGTGATTGGACGAGATTCAAACCGGTGAATATGACGGACGTGGACGTAGCAGCAAAGAAGAGGAAATATAATCAGAGTGAGGAGAAACACCAAGTGGATAAAGCTCGTTCTAAAACGAGGGTGAACCTTGTGTTGTCTTTTACCCGTGGACGTGGAGTTGGTCTACTTCCTGTTGGACAGGCAGGTGACAAACACCGGCGGTTAGCTTGTGCTGGCTTGCGTTCGCTTGCAGTGTAGGTACAAGCAGTAAACGTACACACTACATCCTGCAGGGGGCGGGGCTTCTGGGAGTGATGAGCCCAGGAGGAGGAGCCCCGTTTGAATGCAGTGTTTACAAACGGCATGAGAAATGTTGCTGACTCCATCTTTGAATCTCTTAGATTCAAGCTGTTGTTTGATTACAGCCTGTTTACTTCTTTTTAGCCTCACCTTATTTCAGAGGAAAAGAAGAGTGTATCATCTCACGCTAATCTTCTCTGGAGATCAGGGGACTTTCTCTCTCCCTCACTCTGTAACAATAGGGCCATCCTCTCTACAGTAATGACTTCCTGTGTATCGGCTTCATGTTTTCCTCCTGAGTCATTAAAAGTCTGCAGGTTTACTTGTAGTAGTTTTGGCTTGAGTCCAGCTGAGTGGGTGATGTCAGGTCATCCTCCCTCCTGACTGTGGAGGGAGATTTAACCTGCACTCATTGTTTCCGGCAGCCTGAAATCTTTGACATGCACGCATCCTGTCTACATATCAGAACGAGACACTTTTGAAGA